GAAAACTTGCACTCTAATTCTGGCTGTAATACCCATATCATTAAAATAGCTTGTATGGTATAAAGCAAGAAAAGTGTTAGAGTAAATATAATGCTGAGCTTTGGGTTTTCAAATTCCTGTGTTGTATATGACAAAATAATACAGTGTCATAAAAATATGATAAATTAAGTTGGTTTTATATTGCTCACTGCACAGCTTCTTTATTTTAGATAATCAGAGTTCACCTAACTGACATTTAGTTATGGTATATTAGAAAGCAGTCACAGTAGGATTATATCTTGTATGACATGAACCTACCTCTTGAGATAACACTGCATTTTCTGTCTGAAAAATTGTTCGAACAGACGTACGGTTCACTCATTTTTTCTAGAAACTTGGTGAATAATTCCTTCTTTTCTGGAATGGTACTGGAAAAGTTCATAACTTTCCCAGTCACTGCAACAGTTTTTTTGCTAATCCCGAACCAATAGGAGAAATCAAACAGGGCATCTGATCTGAACTCATAGGAAAAGCTCAAGTCTTCTCCGTTAACTAAATCGCTTCCCGGAGGGAAAAAACTCTTGACAACTTTCTGGAAATCAAACTGAAAAAGAAAAAATATATATATATTTATATTTAAATGTTTAAATCCTGCAAAGCATGATCTCTGCCTCAAAGAAGTTATAACTTATACTTGAGATGTGGTATCCTATTTAAAAACTTACCCATAGAATTTGAATCTGCAGTTGCATAGACACAAAGACCCTGAAGCATTCTAATCCCCTAGACCATAGTTTTCTTATAGTCCTCCTTTCCTTGTGATTGGGACTTCGAGGAGGGGGAGATGTGTGTCAAAGCAGTGATGCTAGTGATACTAGCAGTGCAGTAATGCTTTCAAATAAACGTAACATAATGGGCAAGGAACTTTCATGAACAGATATTAGAATACTGAGCTCCTCAGAGATGGACTGTAACTGTATTGTGATAATCTGTCTAATTTTACAGAAGCAAAAAATTCATAGAATCATAGGTAACCCATTCCAGTACTTCACCACCCCCCCAGTGAAATAGTTTTTCCGAATATCCAACCTAGACCTCCCCCACTTTAACTTGAGATCACTGCTCCTTGTTCTGCCATCTGTCACTACTGAGAACAGCCTCTCTCTATCCTCTTTGGAACCTTCCTTCAGGAATCAGCCCAAATCCCCCAGCCTCCCCTCGTAGGTCAAGTGCTCCAGCCCCCTAATAATTTTGGTTGCCCTCAGCTGGACTTTCTCCAATGAGTCCACATCCTTTCTGTAGTGGGGGGACTCAGATGTGGCCTCACTAGTGCTGAATAAAGGGGGATAATCCTTGAAGAACCTCATCAGATTTCTTTTGTCCCAATCCTCTAATCAGTCTAGATCACTCTGGACCCTATCTCTACCCTCCAACATATCTACCTCTCCCCCTAGCTTAGTGTCATCCGCAAACTTGCTAAGGGTGTAATCCATCTCCTCATCCAAGTAATGAAGATGTTGAATAAAACTGGCCCTAGAACCGATCCTTGGGGCACCCCACTTAAAACCAACCACCAACCAGACACTGAGCCATTGATCACTACTCATTGGGCCTGACAATCTAGCCAGCTTTCTATCTACCTTACAGTCCATTTATCCAATCCATATTTCCTTAACTTGCTGGCAAGAATATTGTGGGAGACCATATCAAAAGGTTTGCTGAAGTCAACATCCACCAACTTTCCCATATCCACAGAGCCAGTTACCTCATCATAGAAGCTAATCAGATTAGTCAGGCATGACTTGCCCTTGGTGAATCCATGTTGACTATTCCTGATCACATTCCCCTCTTCCAACAATAAATAATCCTCTTCCCCCACCCTTTTCCCTTAGAAGTCCAGATTCAAGAATAAATATGGGAGAAGGCGGAGAGGGCGGGAGGCTTTTTTATTCTTGGATCTGAACTTTTAATACTCCAGTCATCTGAAAAAGTGGGTTGTGCCCACAAAAGCTCATGATACCAGCTACATGTTTTGTTAGTCTTTAAAGTGTTACTAGACTTTTCATTGCTTTTTATGTTTTTCCTGTTACAGACTATATCGGCTACCCTTCTGAAACTAGCATAGATAGTTATACCAGCCTAAAAGTGTGTTTCCAGGATAGGTTATTTCATTTGCCAAACCAGTCTAAACTGCACTCGCAAAAGCATTTTTTCCTATGTAAACTGCATTTAGAAAAGTTTGCCAGTATAACTATAGCAACAAATCTCTTTTTTAATGAAAACATGGCCTAAGTATCTGATCTGACATGCATGACCTAGCATTTCACAAAACATTTCAATCTCATCACACATTTTGTGTAAATAATTTCCTTTGTGGAGTGTTGCTTTCGCATGATTGTAAAACACACTTAGCAGACCACTATGCCAAATTTTCCCATCCCAGATGAAATTTGAAAAAAATATACAATGTTCAGTTTTCTTCATTAAATATGCTTTATTCCTTTTTAAATTTCAGAATGTGGATCTGAACAAAATGAGGATTTATTTCCTTTACAGAATGTGAAGCAATACTGGAGTAACACTGCAACAAGTCACAGATGAAAAAACTAGAGTCAGGTTTCAATGTAATTAATTTATTACTTTATGACCTCAAAATCCTTTGGAGAGTGTCACAATCCACATAACACCCCTTGTAATAATTTTACATCTATGATTTATCTTGCAGATATGAAGAAACTTGTAACCAGATACATAGTTAGTCCCAGATGCACAAAAGAATTTAGGCACTTAAAGCCATTTACATAAAATGGCATTAGGCACTATATATCTTAGGATCTGATCTGACTACACATCTGGTGGTGAAGAGCATAAATGATTCCAACTAATGCTGACGTTTAACATAAATTGTATTCCTTTAAGTCAACTTTTTCTGTTACATAATAATGGACTAGTGCAACTTTATGCTTCCATCCATATTTAGTCAGACCACATTCATTTTTTGGGATGGAAATGCTCAACACAACCAGCTTCCTCTACAGATTTGGTAATCCACGTTTTACAGGACATTGTGTAACAAAAATTCAGTATTAAACCAAGTAGACTTTCTAAATGCTCACATGTTGTTTGCAGTGTTGTTCTAGCTATATTGGTCCCAAGATATTAGAGAGATAAAATGGATAAAGTAATATCTTTTATTATTTCATCTGTTGATGAAAGAGAAAAGCCATTTAACTATACAGAGCTGTCCTCAGGTTTCAGAAAGGTCCTGAATGTCACAGCTAACTGTAATGTGGAACAGACTGTTTAGAATAAATTGTTAACATAAATTTTAAAGAGACCATTCAAAATAAAATGGCCAGTTAGCATCTCCTCAGTCACAGGACAAGAAAGGTGAGTTTAGTGGCTTACAGATTGTCACTATTGGCTGCAATGAGATACTGGATTTATGATTTATTACAACACTCTATAACCCACTAAACTCTCCTTTTTCGTCCTGACTGCAGAGATGCTAACTGGCCATTTTATCTTGAATGGTCTCTAACAGACGTTAGTTCGAATTAACTTTGATAGGCGCTACACATACAAACCGCTAGTTCGAACTTAATTCGAACTAGCGGAGCGCTTAATTCGAACTAGGTAAACCTCATTCTATGAGGACTAACGCCTAGTTCGAATTAAGTAGTTCGAATTAAGGGCTGTGTAGCCGTTTAATTCGAACTAGTGGGAGGCTAGCCCTCCCCAACTTTCCCTGGTGGCCACTCTGGGCACCACCAGGGAAACTCGTCTGCCCCCCTCCCGGTCCGGAGCCCTTACAGGGGCACGGTCTGGCTACGGTGCCCGTGCCAGGTTCAAGCCTGCCAGCACCCAGCCAGCAGACCCTGCACCTGGCACGGCACAAGCCAGCCCCCCGCTGCCACCCAGACCCCA